AATGAGCTGAGGCTCTCTCACTATGATTCCACCATAGCTTCCCCTAGAGAGCTGCCTCTGTAATTTGCTTTTGCTGTGGAAGGGATTCCTATGGTGTTTTCATTCATGAACGTAAACTGGTCAGAGAGAAAGACTTCCATGAAGAATGTTTTTCTCTGACATAATCCCTTGTAAAACAGAAAATCACTTTATATTAAAAGTTCAATTAGGACCAAATACAGTATAAATGGCCTTTATAACAATCAGACTGGAAATATAGAAGAGCTGAGTATTACACTATTTTCTACTGACTTTCCTGGGTCTTTGCCAAACACGTCTTGGCTGCCAACAGAAGAGTGAGGAGGCTTTTATATCTGGGGGAGAAAAAGAATGTAACTACAGTGGGAGCTCTAGAAGGGTGTAGTTGCCATCTGGCACTTTGCAGAAATTTTGGAAAATGAATGAAGCTCTTTTATAATTATAACTCTGTATGCAGGCTCTGGGAACTTTATAATAAATAGAACCCTATCACCCTATATAAATGCCACCCTTGCCAATGTGACCTACTATTTACTTAGTAGCAACAGTGAACCACGCGATTTTATTCAGAGATGCAAGGTTGAAGAACTGATTTTATGTCCAGGAAAAAAAAATCTATTTTGAAGGGCAAGAGGAAAAAACCCAGGTAAGCTCTTTTACTTCAACAGAAAGAAAAAAAACCCGTCATCACTATTTTAAAACCTTTTCAACCCACAAAGTGTGATTTAAGGAAGAATAATAAAGGAAGAAAATTAGTAAGCTGCCTTATTAGTCCAAGAAGTCCAACAGGTTGGGAAGCAAGAATTATAGAAATAATAACTGTAAGATCTTTATAGATTACAGAACCCAAACAAATACACAAAAGTAAAACACAAAAAGCGACTCAACGAATAAAAAGAGAGTGCATTTGAACTTTTAAGAATCTTGAATGGCAGTTGCTTTTCTCGAAGGCCCGAAACAGTTTTGACCCCAGCTGCTACTTATTTTATCTCACAATAGACTGCTTCAAGACGTGTCACTTCTGGCCAAGCTATTCATTTCAACTTAAAATGCACATAGCTCAAGCCTCAGAAGAGGACTTTATCACCTCTGAGCCGAACGCAGACTAAACACGACACTTGTGCCTGATTCCGAGTGGTATCTTATATCCAAAAGTTCCTTTAATTATAGCTCTGCCTTGTCAAGCTGATCTTTCAACTTGTCAGAACTGCCTTAAGGCACTAAAATTGGATCCATGCAGAAAAAATATGCTTTAGGACAACATGTGCAACGAGGACCGATGCATCTGTTAATGTTAAAACCAGAAGGCAGTGTGCCGCGGCCACATGAGAACAACCTGTAAAACTTAATAATTCACATTTGCTTTAAAATCTTACAGTAATCTTTTATTTATTTAAAAAATTTTTAAGTTTATTTATTTATTTTGAGACAGAGACAGTGTAAGCAGGGGAAGGGCAGAGAAAGAAAGGGAGAGGGAGAGAGACAGAGAGAGACTCCCAAGCAGGCTCTGACTGTCAGCAAAGCCTGATGTGGGGCTCAAACTCAGGAAACCCTGAGATCATGACCTGAGCTGGAACGGAGAGTCAGTTAACGGCCGCTTAACTGACTGAGCCACCCAGGCGCCCCCATAGCAATCTTTTAAAGCAACACATCACAATGGCACCGTCATTTCCCCTATTCAACAAATATGTATGGAGTGTCCACATGCTGGGCACTAGGCTGGGTGCTGAGGGTATAATGATTAGCAAAATGGACACATAAAGATCTTCAGGTTTGGGTGGTTTCTGAGGCTGAAAAGCCGAGAAAGTAAGGTCAGCCTGATTTTTCCATTAGAGGCAGCCACCTCCCGACCCCCACCTCAGTGGTGGAGGGGCTGAGGCCCACAAGTTTCTGTATAGTCAACTGTAATCTGTAGGGGGACCGCTTCCCGGAGTCCTACTGCCCATCGCAGCAGATCCTCAGGTGAGCCTGTTTAACACGTTTCCAAACTATTGTAGTTTTCTAAAATCTGGTTGCTATTTATAACGGCTCCTAGATAAAAGGAGTCATCGCCGTGAACGAAGAGCTTCCTGGTGCAGCCTAGGCAGCGAACTCTTTGGGGTCGAAGCTGATGACACCTCTGGACACGAGAGCTAGGGTCACAGATGAGAACCGAGAGAAAGAAGCGGGAAAACAGCAGGTGATAGGAGTGAGGGTTAGGAAGGAGCGCACACTTTCCCCAGTTCTTTTTTCTCTTCTCTTCATTGAGCAGACAGATCTGGGATAAGGCATGGGAGGGCATCCTGGGTTTAATCAGGTCAGGACTACTGGTAACAATGGCATGGGGTTATGAAAAAATAGAAGAGTTTCCAGCAATGTACAGGGAAAGGAAGAAAATTCACCAATAGCGACAAAAGGGGAAGGCCTGTGGAGGTGGCAGCAATGAATCACCGGCCAGAGTGAACATTTATATGCAATATGTGATGGCAGGGAGTCATTAAAAACTAGGCACTGTTGAGGGCACATTAGAGACATCCATTCATATTATTAGCGACCAGTGACTGTTCCTTGGATATGGGGTTTATGATACGCCCTGAAAGAAGATACATAAAGGGAAAAGAAATGAATCCTACACTGGCAGGAGTATTTGCAATGCCAGGCAAATACTTGTAGTGTTACACACAAATTACTAATTATTAATCATTTATTCTTATTCCAGAGAAGGAAGCTTTGCCTCAGAGAGATTGAATGACTTGACCAAAGTCATAGTTCTAATCAGTGGTATGGAAGGCAAAGGCTCAGGCAATGACCTTTAACATATGTGCCTTGTCAAAGCCATAAACATGGATCCCCAGGGAAGCCAGGCAAGCCAAGACTGAAGTAAGCAGGGAAAGGAAGAAAATACGACAGACTCCATCCCTTCACATGAGAAGGGAATCACCTCATGCACTCTGGAGAATGAAACCACTGGAAATTACTTATCACACATTACAAAGCTACAAGGGAAAACAAACAAAAAAACAATAGTTTTCTGTGATAAACTACTCTAAGGTGTATTTATCAGACAGCAATGTCAGTCTTTTCCGGTCAGCCTTGAAAGACAAATTAGCATGTCCCTTTGAATTTAATAGCATATAGAAATAACACGTTTAGATCTTATTTTTATCACAATTATAACTGCAGAGTAATCCAAAAAAAGACTACCCAGATTTGATTAAATGAACACATTTACTCTCTATCACTGCAGGAAGGGGAAAGGCAAGCTAGAGAAGAGAAAGCTGCAGCTTTTTGTATGAACTTGATTGAGTGGTTATTGTTAACTACTCAGGAAATCACGGATTCTCTGAGCCTCCTCGAATGGCAATGAGAAAATGATCTTTGTTGCTATAAAAAAAAGTCTTCAACAATGGACGGTCGTATGAACGCACATGAAATATTAATGCAATACTTAATAAGGAGCTAGATAATTTTGGAAAGGAAAAAACAACAACGAAGTACTTCATAAACCTTTTACCAATGAGCTTCAAGATATACATTGATAACAGAGAACAACTGAGGGTTGATGGGGGGGGAGATGGGTGATGGGCATTAAGGAGGGTACTTCTCAGGATGAGTGCTGGGTGTTACATGTAAATGATGAATCACTGGGATCTACTTCTGAAGCCAAGACTACACTGTAGGTCAACTAACTTGAGAATATAATCTTTTTTTTTTTTTTATTTCTAGGAGAGAGAGAGAGAGAGACAGCATGAGCAGGGGAGGGTCAGAGAGAGGGAGTCACAGACTGAAACAGGCTCCAGGCTCTGAGCTGGCAGTCAGCACAGAGCCCGACGCGGGGCTCGAACCCACGAACCGCGAGATCATGTCCTAAGCGAAAGTCGGACGTTTAACCGACTAAGCCACCCAGGCGCCCCAGCTAACTTGAGAATATAAAAACAAACAAACAAAACCCCAAAATACCAGATGTACATTGTTACAACCTCTAACTAAAGTTGGAAGCTATAAAAATCTTGTTAGATCCTTAGACTGGGTGCACTTTGCAGGGACTCTGCTCACTCGAGCATACTCAAGTCTCTCTTCTTTGCTCATCTGTCCTCATCTTCCTGCTGCTGACACAGATACCCTTCACTGGCTTTTCTTTGCCTCTCCAAATCTGATCTCAAGGCAGATTGGGAAACATCCTTACAATGGTGTAAAGGATTCACAATGCATGAGTTGTATCCCCTTGTGTGTGGTTTTTTTTTTAAATGTTTTATTTATTTCTAGGAGAGAGAGAGACAGCGTGAGCTGGGGAGGGTCAGAGAGAGAGGGAGTCACAGACTGAAACAGGCTCCAGGCTCTGAGCTGGCAGTCAGCACAGAGCCGACGCAGGGCTCAAACCCACGAACCGCGAGATCATGACCTAAGCGAAAGTCAGACGCTTAACCGACTAAGCCACCCAGGCGCCCCTCCCCTTGTACTTTTTCAATTAGACTTTAGTTTTTAGAGCAATTTTAGGCTCACAGAAAAATTGAGTGGAGTGTGGAGTTTCCATATATCACACACCCGCCTCCCCACCCCCTTGGGTCTTAGCAGATATCACACACTAAAACAAAAGTAAGAATCCTTCCACGGGGGTCAAGGGAATCCAGAGGTGGTCTTCATGGAGTCCTTGGTCTCCCAGATATTATATACTGAATTTTGGTATATGGCTGTATATATAAATATATATATATATATATTTTTTTAGGAAGCAGGTTTCATCGGGTTCCTAAGCAGTTAGCATTCAAAAATGGCTAAGGTCTCTAAGCTAAAAAAGACTAAAGGAAATATTTTGGAGTCAGAAAGGCTTTACCAGTGTCCCTAAAATCATACCACATAGGTAGCGGCTGAAGCAAGTATCAGTATGTATACCCAGGCCTCTAACTTCAACAGGGGCTACAGAAAAACTCTGGTTAAAGAAATGACAACCAACAAAACGACTTTCAAAACATACAATGACCTCTTTTTTTCTTTTAACATACCTTTAAAGCCTCTATCACAAGGTCCCTTGCTTCAAGCTCTCCTTCAAGAATACTGAATAGTGTTAGGAGTTCAGGCTTGCTGAGTTTTTCCAGATTCATCCTGAAAGCCTAAAACAAAGGCAATGATCAGATAATCTCCAGAAGACAAAGTTGGTTTGATAGGGCTAAGGAAAAAAAGAGAGTCTCACAAGGAAAGAGCCACAATCATAGCATAAAATGTTTTAAGAAGGCAAACGGTTACAATTAAGTAGAAAAAAGTTGGAGCTTTCTGATGTCAATCATAAACTGAGCAGTAAGAGAAAATAAAATTCACCTTCAGTATGGATTTCATCACCACTCACAAAGATCGAAATTTTCCATTGTTTTTCCTCCAGGCATATTTACAAACATCCTGGGAGGTCTCAGAAAGAATTAGTCATTAGTTTTGTTCACTACAAGTGCAGGTAAAATTGTGTTGCGGTGAATGAATACCATTTCACCAAAAAATTGTTAGAGCATGAAAAGACTTCCCAGTTTTAAATAACCAAATTCCTAAATGGTATATAAAACATTCTGGCATCCCTCTAAAGTTGGATGAAATGAAATTTGGGCAAGAGAATGCCCGGTGGCAATGGGAGAAATTCTTTTAAATTGTCTGTCTACTTTCACAGAGAACATATATCATGATATATATATTCATATAGTAAAATTAAGACCTCAATGCAACCATATACAAATATACTTATAATTTCCTAAAACACATTGTCGTTTACGCATCTTGATTGGACAGCCTACTACTAACTGAATTTATCTGACTCTGTAAGTTCTGGTTTCTATGAAGTCCTGCATCTTTGGAGACATGTTAAATGGCAAACTGCATAGCACAAACTCGATCCTTTCCACAGATTAATTCCTTGGCAGCCACATACTGACTGCCAGACAATTTTCGGAAGGTCTTCTGACCAGTGTGTGTTGTGAGATACATTTTTTAAAAAATGTTTTCTATTTATTTCTGAGAGAGAGAGACAGCGTGAGCAGGGGAGGGTCAGAGAGAGAGGGAGACACAGAGTCTGAAAAAGGCTTCAGGCTCTGAGCTGGCTGTCAGCACAGAGCACGATGCAGGGCTGGAACCCGTGAACCGTGAGATCATGACCTGAGCCGAAGACGGACGCTTCACCGACTCAGCCACCCAGGCGCCCCATATTTTAGAACTTCCAAAGCTGAGCAAATACTACTTTCCTTCTCCTATACTGTCCTTGCCAATTGTCACTCCCATACAGTTTTCTTTAAAGGGAGTTGCAACATGACAAGGTCACACACACTCGAGTAATTTCCACCTCTTATGAGCACATTCAATTTTAGGAGGCACACAAAAGAGTCATTGATTCCTTCCAGAGCCACTGCCTCTAAGTGCAGGAGAGCACGTAGAAAAGGAACACTTCACGGTGTTGTCAGATTGTGTTCCGGGACGTGCTGTACAAATCTTTTGCCACAGAGCAGAGTATGTTCCCTCTCACTTCAGCTCTGCTGACTCTCTAACAACTTAGTTTTAGCGACTAGAAAGGGATCCCCACTTCAGCACCACAGAAGACACCTCACAACAGGTACTTTACAAATAACTAAAAAAAAAAAAAAAGGACAAAACAAAACAAAACAAAAAAAAAAAACCTCCCAAAACCCACACCTAACAGAGCTACACATAATTTAAGCTGCTATGTTGGAAAGAGTGTGTGGCTTTGCAGACAGATGGATGCCAGGTCTGTATCTTCTGAGTTGTGGGATTTCTGATTCTCAGTTTGTTTTTTTATCTGTGAAAGGGGGGATGATGCCATCTAACTCCTAGGGTTGCTGTGAATTGGGTTAATAAATGTGAAACATCTTGCCAAGTTCTTGATACATGCTGAACATTGGTTTAGTTATTAATAACTACTAATCTCTCTCATTTTCCAAAAGAATTCTAAGAAAGACAGTACCAAAATTGCGGGCAGCCAAGATCAGTGACCTCAGTAATACCTTCAAGCTGCCCTTTTGTGCTTGGGAAACTCAGATGGAGAAGGGTGATAGCATCCTGGGGTGAAGAATGGGGAGGCATTTAAACCATCAATTGAGTCACGCTGGTTTCTTAGAACGAAAGAAACCCTTCCCCCTCTTCCTGATGGTTTCGTACTTTAATCTCTCAAAGATTATAAAGCAGAGGGAAAGTCTCATCATTTTTTGCCCACCCCCTTCTCTCCCATGATGTTCAGCAAAATAATGGGCACCCGTGAAGGTACTCTGTAAATACCAACTACACTAAGTAAATCAACTGGATGGAGAAGCACCAAAGTAAAAATGACAGTGTTTACACATATTCTTTCTTCCTTCATCATCTTTGTAGTCCTTAAATACTCTTATTTAGAGATCTAAAACTGGGGCTTAAGGAAGACAGATGGGGGGGTGAGGAGTATAGAATTTTGGTCTGAGCTCTGCCACTACGCGGCTCTGTGGCTTTGAGGATGAAAAGTACCCAGTTACGCTGGCACTGAGTCTCCTCACGGGTAAAATCAGACTAGATAATCTCTGAAGTCCTTCTTGGTTCCATTTAAGCTTTCACGGATAAAAATCAAGAGTTGTTAGAGAATCCAATGAACTACGACTAACGTGAATATGCAAAGAACTAAAAACCGATGGCACCTAAATCAGAGTCTTGGATCTGTTGTAATAAATATACATCCTCATAAAGGAATAAAATCGAAACACTCTTCAGAGCCACTTTAATTATAAAGGAGTCCAGCCCAGGCAAGAAAAAATTCTATTCTTTGTCAATGGCATAAAGAACAATATTCTTGTTATCTACATTTGTAAATCACTTCTGCACACAAATTTTAATATCTGGGACATCCTGCCAATATGTGTTCACTCACTGAGCTTAGCGTCTGCATGAGGTGAAGACAATGCAAATTTGACACAGGAGGAAGGAAAGGGCCACAGCTATGTAACTGGAAAAGCAATAGGTCTGTTTTCACATGTTCCCATACCTTTCTTTATCAATATTAAAATTCCACAGTTCTTTGCTGTTCTTTATTATTTGAATCTAATCTTCATACACAAAACATTGCAATAGATTTAACATATGAAAGACAGTAAAACTGTACTGTTTCAGGATGACAGTGATATTCCCAGGAGTGGGGACAGAAGTGGGGGTGGGGGGGTGATACTGACCTGATAATTGGCGGTCACACTTTAGTCCTCAAGTATAATATCTCAAGGTTGTCTTCAGTTAAAATTTGGGAAAATTGACAAATATGTTTAAAATGCCATCAGCATGGTGGAAAAGTGTCCAATGCTGCAAAATAATAAGAAATTTATTATCTATGTGTTCATACTATAAATGATTCGATAAATCCCATGAATGTCAACTGTCATTATAGCTGATCAGGACTGACAGGTGTAGGTTGATACAAAAAGAAGAAAAGAGCCACTTTTTCAAGTTGAAGCTGAGTAATATAGGAAAATTACCGCGAATCTGACTTCCCTTTTGCAATTATCATTAGGGAAGGTGAGGGCTTTCAAAATCTTTTTTAAAATGTTTATTTATTTTGAGAAAGTGCATGTGAGTGGGGAAGGGGCAGAGGGCGAGGGAGAGAAAGAATCCCAAGAAGGCTCCTTGCTAATGCGGGGGTGGGAGGGGGAGGGCAGGGAGGAGAGCTCAATCTCAAAACCTCATGACCTGAGCCAAAATCAAGAGTCAGACGCTTAACCAACTGAGCCACCTGGTGCCCCCAAAATCTTTTTTACTTTAAAATGTCCACTGCTATTTCAAGGACTAACTTATGAACGTCCTAGAAGAGAAATGACAGTCTCCCTGCATTCACAAAAGCCTATTTGCTTAAATCACCATGACTTATGCACAATACACTCAGAAAAATAATGTAATTACAACTGAACTTTTCTTTAAAAAAAATTTTTTTTAATGTTTTGATTTCTGAGAGAGAAAGAGAGAGAGACAACATGAGCTGGGGAGGGTCAGAGAGAGAGGGAGACAGAATCTGAAGCGGGCTCCAGGCTCTGAGCTAGCTGTCAGCACAGAGCCCGACGTGGGGTTCAAATCCACGAACTGAGAGATCATGATCTGAGCCAAAGTCAGATGCTTAACTGACTGAGCCACCCAGGCGCCCCACAACTGAACTTTTCAAACTGCTAAATTTGTGTAAGGTATACTCTTATCCCCTCACCTCCTGCCAGTCAGTGAGCAAACAAATCAACCTGTCACCATCTGGACTTTGTAAGGCTAATGACTCATCCCAGCTCCTACTTTTCCTCATTTTTTTTTTCCAAATATTAGGTGTTGAATTATACGCAAATTTTTGGTTTATGTTTTCCTAATAGTTTATCAGACCCAGTAAACGTTAAAAAAAAAAAAAAAAGATAGGCTTTAAATTTTATTTGATAAACCATAATTTTTGTCTTGGACTTTAAGGCACCAAGTCTTAAATTTGACTCCAATTTCTGCCTAATATATAAATTGTGTGCCCCAAGACTTTCAGAAAAAGGCTGCTGCTAACTCCATATTAATTGTCAGAAAGATGACTGCCAGATTTTTGGCAGCCATACTGTAGTCTACAGACTTGCTCTCTACTTGTTTTCTAAATGAGCTGTTACTTGTCACTGTCATCATCCATTAAGTAACTTTGAAAGACAAGATCATTTCGACCAGATGCTCAGATCATTCCCTCCATTTGAATCTCTCCAGCTTTCCTTAGAGTTTAGTGGCACACATGTCTGTCTAAGGAACGCTACAGTCTATAAATCCGAAATAAAAACCAGTGGTGGACAAGTTGGATACATTACCATACGTGTGGTACGGCATGCTAGCTGAAGCTATTCTATTAAGTTTTATAGTTTTCTCAGTTAAAACATAAATATAGGGGGGCTTGGCTGGTTCAGTTGATAGAGCATGCGACTCTTGATCTCATGGTCGACTCCTGATCTCAAGGTTGTGGGTTCAAGCCCCATGTTGGGTGTGGAGCCTACTTAAAAAGAAATAATAATTAAATTAAATTTAAAAATATAAATACAGATAAGAAAAAAAGATAAATAATACATATTTTAAGACCCTGGAAAAATAAGCCTATTTATGGGATAGGTACGAAACTTATTTTTAGATTATCAATAAGAGATTTCAAACATCAGTTTTGCCTAGCACACCATTCAGTCTGCTCACGTGCTACTTTCCATCAAGTCAGGGCCAACGGTCACAAGCGTTGTGGTTCTCAAGAAGGGCCCCCTGGCCCACCACTGAATTTCCTGAACGGCACTGACTATTTTGCCCTGAAGAGGCGCTATTGTGGACTTGGGCTCTGCTCATTTTATTCCGGCCTTTTCCTTTCTCTGGATAATGCCCAAGTTCATTTCATTCTGGCTCTGGTCCTTCCTTCTCCTTCTTGAGGAGGTCCCAGCTTTTGCTCTGGAACTCCGAACGGGTCCTCCAGGAGAGCAGGCGTTGTTGCCTCTTCACCACAGAGATTGGTTGTCAGAAAAAGAAACACCCCAAACAGTTTCTGTAGCTATGTAAGCAGCAGGGCGGGGCGGAGTGGAACACAAGTAGGGTGTTTGTCTATCTGCTATCTGGGTGTGTGTGTGTGTCCTTCTGTGAAACCGAAGGCTTGACTTCTAAATGGTGGTTGGTATGGGGCATAAAAGAGGGAAAACAACATTTTTTGGATGGGTCTTAGATATTTCTGGACATAGAAACACCTAAAAAAAAATCTACACAGATCTGTTTTTTTTTTTTAAGTCAACATGGCTAGTATAAAAAACAAAATCAGGGGCGCCTGGGTGGCTTAGTCGGTTAAGCGTCCGACTTTCGCTTAGGTCATGATCTCGCGGTTCATGGGTTCGAGCCCCGCGTCGGGCTCTGTGCTGACTGCCAGCTCAGAGCCTGGAGCCTGTTTCAGTCTGTGACTCCCTCTCTCTCTGACCCTCCCCTGCTCATGCTGTCTCTCTCTCTCTCTCCTAGAAATAAATAAAAAACATAAAAACAAAAACAAAAACAACCCAAAATCAGTTGTTTTACCCAGAAAATCACGCTTGCAAAACTGGACAAAAATCATTTCTTTATTATACACATAGATGTCAAATTGAAGAAGTTTATATTTGGGCTACAACTGACTGGGATTCTGGCCATTGAGTAAGTTTTTAGTATTAGCAATAAGATACGGGCAAAGATATAAAGCAAATTTTTTCCAAATATGTAAGGATTTTCACATATATGTCAGCTAAGCTAAAATATGGGAGGCCAATTACTTCTTAAAATTCAGAGTAACACTGCCACATAAAATGGGTGTTTTTGACAGCCTCACACTAGATAAGGTACTTCCTTAAAAACCCAGAACATACGACATCTAAAAAAATCAAATAAATATGTCCTATTTATAAATATACATTCTAAATATGGGCAAAAATGCACCGCTATTTTAAAAAATGTACCCAAAGCATCCCATTATCTGGGCGTGGAAGGCGTTGACACAAATTACCTTGACTATCTCAAAAAGACTGAAGTTTCTCCAGCCTCTGGTACTTCTGGTTTTCCAGAAGTGCTACTTGTGTATTTGGGGATAAGAGTGTGATAACATTCCAAATTGTACCTCTCATTCCAGTTTTGGCATTTGAGGATTAGGCGAGGGAAGAAAAACATGTCAAAGTACTATTGGAAGATAATTATCTGATCTAGAAAGCAGATCTTTTGTACATTTACCAAAGAGAGCTGTTTTTGCTATTATTATTTACAAAGATTCTGAAACCAAGGCCTAAAAACAAATCTCATTTTACTGAATTCTACAGTACTTTACTGCAAATGTCAAATCAATCTTTCAGTTGAAGATAAATGATATTAGTGGACTATTTGGATCCTTATGTGTCTATGTGTTACAATTTAAGTGTGTGGACTAAATTGGCCTGCCCTCATTCATATATTGAAGTCCTGATCCCCAGGCACGTTCCGCATGATCCCCAGGCACTTCTGCATGATACGTTTGGAGATAGGGTCCTTAAAGAGGTAATTAAGTTAAAATGTGGTTATTAGGGTGGGTCCTAATCTAATATGGCTGTGTCTTCATTAGGGGAGAAAATCTTGGCCATCTCCAAGTCAAAGACAGAGGCGTCAGAAGAAACAAATCCTGCTGACACGTGGATTTCTGACTTCCACCCTTTGGGGTTGTGAGACAATAAATTTCTATTGTTTAAGCCCTCCCCGACTCCTGGTCTGTGGGACCTTGCTATGGCGGCCTGAGCAAACTAGTGTAACATGCTAATCATTTACTACTTTTAAACATTATCAGAGCAACTAGATCTCAGCCTTCCCCCTACCAGGAGAGTGCCGGAACATATTTCTCAGAATGCCTTGTGTTTGTCCAATTGCTATCCGTTTGCTTCCATAGCCACACTGTAGATAGTATTCTATAAAACAGGATGGTTTTGCAACAGTTTCAGACATTACAAACTTCAGGATCCTAAAATGTAATGTGAATAATGCACTTAGAAGCTGCAATAGAGCTAAATGATCAAGATGCTTGTATATCCAATACTGTCAACATAGACTTTGAAGCAGGCCTCAAGAAACCAGTTCTGGAATGAAGCTAATTAAGGTCAATCTTTTTTTTTTTTTAATTTTTTTTTTAATGTTTTATTTATTTCTAGGAGAGAGACAGCGTGAGCAGGGGAGGGTCAGAGAGAGAGGGAGTCACAGACTGAAACAGGCTCCAGGCTCTGAGCTGGCAGTCAGCACAGAGCCCGACGCGGGGCTCGAACCCATGAACCGCGAGATCATGACCTAAGCGAAAGTCGGACGCTTAACCGACTAAGCCACCCAGGCGCCCCAAGGTCAATCTTTAAATATACTTCCAGGACTCTAGTCAAAGCAGATCCTAGGATACCAGATTTTCTGGATTTATGCTTGGTACACAAATGAATAATTGAGCCTATTGATGTTGATCACCACCACCTCAGAGTTTATAGCATAGTTTTCTAAGAAGAATTCAAGCAGGAATAGTAATAACAAAAAAGTATAAACATTTATTGAGCTAAATAAAAACAAATAAAAAAAAGATAAACATTAACGTGTTCTAGGCAGTGCTGCAAGTACTTGACGTGAATTAATTCAATCCTCACAACAACTTTGGATGATAGATGCTATAACCATCATCAAATCCCCATTTTATAGATTAGAAAAGTGAGGCACAGAGGCTAAATAACTTGCTCAAAGTCTCAGATCTAGTATGTGGCAGAAATCGAACTTGAACCCAGGTAACTTGATTCCAGGGGTTTCCTTAATAACTACTGGTACTT